ACAGGCACACCAAAGACCCGCTCTGTGGCCACCTCCCCAGCCTCCCCAGGTATTTGGCAGGTTGTTCCTCTGACCACTCTGATAGAAATCCCAGCCAAACAGGCAGTGTCTCAGATTCCACTCGCAGTTTCTGGAAGGAAGCACGTCTGGGGAAACCCAGATATGTGGTAGACCCACGGACCCAGACCATCAATGAGTCAACTTTAGTGTTGCCTGGGGAAGCCGGCACTATGGAAAATGCCTCCCAGGTGACAAGAAAATGATATTGCATTATTTATTTTAAAAGTCTTACCTCCTGATACCCTGCATCTATTCATTTCAAACTGATTTATGCAGAGTTAATTGATTAAACTTCACAGCCTCCCTCTGAGTTGGCAAAACTATTACAGAGCAGAACACAGAAAAGTGAAGCAATTAGTCCAACAAGTTACTCAGGGGCAAAACAAGCACTAAAAAAAAACCCACTCCAAATGCTACACTAACCTGCCTTCACAGTGAGCCACCAGAAAAGTCAAAGCCCCTCTCTATACTGGCCAGAAGAGGACATCGTCACTTAACCAGTGACAATTTTAAAGTGGTTTTATCTTTCCAGCTCTTCCCTCTCCCCGTTACCACCCAGGCTACGGACACCTCCGCACTTGGGTACTTCAGCTCCTCCTGCTGCTGTACCCGAGCTCTTTCCAGCTGTGCTCCCAGACTGGATGCCAGGTCCCTCGGGCCTCTCCCACTCTATTTTCCTGTAAACTCTCTGCAGTCAGCCAGCTCACACTCTGGCTACGTCCCAGACCAAAGTAAAGGTGCCTTGCAGAGGTATGGAAAAGTTGGCTGAAGCTAGGGTCAGGCTATAGGGCTGGAAATTAGGAAACACATGTTTTATGATGGAAGTTGGAACGCGTCCCAAGCACAAGACGTGGGACAAGTTTGCTTATTCCTTCCTCCCCCTCCTTGCCCTCCCCATCGCTTCTGAAATCAAGATAGTCTTAAGACCAAAATTTGAGGGGTTGTCTCCAGATAGAGCTCTGATTTTGGCTGGGCTCTGGGTGCAAATAACCAGTGATACCATAAAGGTCATCTTTATGAGTAGTTCACTGCTGCAAAACAGATAACGACTCAAACCAAAAGCATCCCTCGATCAAGCCAGCCAGAAAGAAAATAGTAAGCACAAGAATATCCAGAAAGCTTTACTCTTAAAAAACAAACTAGAAGTTTTTAGAAGTTTACTGCAAATTTAGGGACTGTGCAACATCAGGTAAGTAACCTTTTCTGAAGCAAAAGCATGGCCAGGTCACAGACAGGATCCTGCCACATGAAGAACAGAAGATGGTTCTCTTCTCTACTGCTTAGAACATTTCCCCAGAAAATCCCCCACATCTCTGAACAGAAAAACTAAAAATCAGTGCTCACAATACCATTTTCAGAATCTGATTTCAAAATTAATATAGAAGCTTATCACACCAACTTTCAATTTTTTATTACTTTCTGGTTCTGATTTAAAGAGGAAAGCTGGACAAGAACGAGCTGGTGGGCCATATTCTGCCTTCACAGAGCCAAATACAGGGGACAAGCAAGAATGATGGAGCTTTGGAGGGGAAAGAACTGGCTCATTGACCCAGCTTCACAAAATTCTTCAGAAGCTCAAGTCTCCCTGATAACACCATTTGTATATAATCTCCCTCTATAGGCACCCAGCGAATCCCCTCTGGTGCATCAGGGCTGCTTTCAAATCTGTCTCTTTTCCTGACACACACATACATGCCCCAAGTTCAAACTTGGTTTTGAAGCAATAAAGAGATGCAGAAAAATTGTACATTTAAATGACACGGCGAGGTGGCCAAGTGTGAAGCGAACCCATCTCTCACATCTTTCATTTAAAAGGATGAGACAGGACAACAGAAAGCCTGCTGCAATCCCTGTGAAGAGGTCAACATCGAAACTGGGCCACGTAATTTGCCATTTGAGAAAACAACAACACGCAAATAGGAAGACTCTTTGGACCTCTCCTCATTAGGCAGGGAAACCATTTTGCAGAAGCAGTCTCCCCCTGGGAAAGAGGAGAGGGCAGCAAGAAAGGCAAGTGAACCGACACGAGATTGCCGCCACGATGCGTGACCCTGTGGCAAGCGAGTCCCTCCGCTCCGCGAAACGCTCAGAGAGCGTTGCTGCCCACGGGGTATTGTGGGAGAAAGCCAAATACAATGAGGCAGGCAAAAATGAAACCTAACAGCCCACGCAGAAAAATAAAAAAATTTAAAAAAAGGAGAACGAGGGATTTTCCCCTGCGATGAGATGCTGAGGAGCACTTGGGTCCGGTCAGCCTTTCAGCCAATTTATTCAATCAGCTTAGGCTATCAAGGTGGCAATTGCGTTGCTTTTGTTTCAGGACTGAACTGCTGCAGGTCACTCCACCCCAAGCAAACCTGCTTATTTGCTTCATAGATGTTCAACACTTAAAGGTTAGTCAGCTGTACAAATGCTGGAAATAGCGTGCGGGGCACTCAGGGTGAGACTCAAACCAACCAGGACAAACAAGGCTACTGAGCATCAGCGTGTTGGGCTCCAGCAGAGATAGCTACCAACTCCCTCTGCACCCCAGATAGCCCCAGAAAAAAACCACAGAAAAGAGGAGAGAGTTTGCCAATACACTGATATGATCGTAATACTATTCTCTTCCCTTTGCAATGCCACCCTCCATGAGAAAAGAAGAAAGCTGCGCTTTTGGAGACAGCTCCCACGGAGGACAATGTTGTTCTCAGCTCCCATGAAAAATGAGGGATCTGGATGTGCTCCCCATGTCTTGGGAACCTGCCCAAATGCGCGATGATTCCTTTGTAGCAGCAGTGAAAAATATATACTGTGTAATCAACAGATAGCTAAATCATCCAGTTCAACAGCTCTTGCACCAAAATGATTTAAAAGACAATACTCAGTTGCTGAAATCCTTCCTGCACACTGTCTGTAATGACTGTGAGACAACCATGGCCAGACTGGAGATCCGGTAGTGCTGCTGTGTTTGTTGTTGTCAGATACGTAGCTTTTCTTCAAAAAGCAAGTGAGCTCAGAGAACACACACAAAGAGCGCAAGAGTATCCACAACCGCCCGCGCGAACCCCTTCGCCAGTCTGACACGGGGCTGCATCAGGTATCAATGCCATCAACAGGGGTACTAACCACTTGGGGTGTAATTTTGGAAGCCAGCAAGGATCCCATGACTGATGTGACGAGTCATTTAGGACACTGATGTGCCAAATCTGCACTAAGATAACACAAAATGGTCAAATTTGAGTATAACTGGATTTCTTTCATACAGGCAATACAGATTAAAAAAGCTGTGAAAGTTATAGTAATTTCACCCATCCTTACAATAATTATTTTTCCCTGTATTTATAGAAGAAAAGTGAAATATTACAATACAGGTCAGCTATACTTCAGTGCAAAAAACCCCAGGAAAACCATTTCAAATAGAAAACTTTTATTGGCCTAAACCTACAGAGATGAAATTTAGATCTATCTCAGTTCAGCTGCTCAAATGGAAAGTACATGGCCTTTTTCTCCTGCGACAACCAACCACAGTCAGCTCAATAGCCAAAAAAGCGCCGAGTTTGTGCATCCGTTACAGAGCTCTCTCCATTTCCCCTGCCCCCCCCTTATTCCTGTATCTTTATCTCGTCCAGCAACATTGTTTTCTACCCCATCATACTCTCTGGCTATTCTTCCATAACCTCTTGTGCCTTCCCTAGACACCTATATTCCCCATGCACACAATTTTTCTTTCTAGCCTTTATGTTCTGCAACAAACTGCTAGTACTGCTTCCACAGACCAGAGTTTCCTAACTAAAGATGGTTATTGATGTACAGTACTAGTGTTTTAGTGCAGTAGCAGAATCAATAAACCAGGAAATACTGCTTTGTCAGATTTTTCCAGCGCATGCTGGGAAATATTTTTACTGCCTTTGGATGGTCACAGAGCTTTTCTTTAGAGATCACACTGGAGCACGAACTGTGTCTTCCCTAGGAAGAGCTGAAGCTCTCCTACCCTCTAGTGACTGGAACAGAATAGAGCACAGGGTTACAGCTCTTTCTTTTCCCCCCCGCCTCTTCTTTTAGACAGTACTTTCTCTTCTAACTCAGGACCGTGCTTCAGCATCTCAATTTTATTTAAAAAGATGCTAAGGCACAAGTCGGAGTCTTGAGAACTGAACAACTTGCCAGTACAGCTTACAGCAAAAGGTCCAAAAACCTGTATGTAAAAAAAAAAATTACTTAATATGCAATGAAATATAGGGTACAACCAAAAAAAAAAAAAAAAAAAAATCCCAGTGACAGCAACCAAGACAGACGTTTGGCTATTCTGGACAAAAAGGACCAGAGTTTAAAAACCTGGCTCCTTTTCCCAGGACCTAAAGCCAACCAGCGTCAAGAGACAGCTGTGTGTGCATGCGTGAGAAAAAGGGGGATCAAGCTACACTGATTGAGTGAGGGCACAGTAATTTCCAGAGCTTTAGTTAAAAACTAAAGTGCTGAGCTCTTCAATTATTCCATCACTTTCTGTCATACGGCATTCAGGGATGTCTGGCGGCTCTCTGAGGGGAAGGGCTGCGATATCCCTGGAACCGGGGCTCGCCGAGCTGCCGTCCAGCTCCAAGGGCTGTACTTTGCACTTCTTCTATTGACAAAAATATACTTGCTGGCACAATACCTGAGAGGGTTGGCTCCTGAACATTGCACACCACAGTTGTAATGAACAGAACAAGAGGAGGTTAATTATTCAATTTATTTAGGCACAAACCAGTAGTTATATAGGGAAAATATCAAGATGCATATGTGTTCTCATAAGAGCCAAATTCTGCTTTTCAGAAAGTTAGACTGTAGAGCTCTGAAGCTGGGTACCGGGGACTGCAGTTTCTATATCATTGTTATTTACTCAATAGCAAATTAAAGCTTTACAGAACAAATAAAAAGCCACAGTCTGTTCCTTGAACAAGTTAAAATCTAATGCAAATATGGGACAGTACAGGAATATAAAAGTAATGGAAGCCTGCAGGGATACTACAGAAGACCAAGGAAAGCAAGTTATGTAGTTATGTAGCAACACACAAATCTTGGAAATCCTGTTATGCTGCTGGTAATGAAAACTGCCTGCTCAGTCTCCATCCCAAGAACAAAAGGAATTTCAGAAGAAATACTGCCTCACAAAATTCCTCCCATGGTGAGAGGTAACCCAAATGATTAGAATGGGATCCAGGAGACTCATGTTCAACTCCAGTGCCAACTCCCAACCACCTTTCAGGTATCCTTAAACAACTCAAATCCCCCGCAGCTCTCTTGTTGGTCGAATTTACACTCATTTCCTTAGTACAGACAGTTTTTCTGTCTTTTTACAGCTCTTTGGTGAATGGGGTCTTACTCTTGCTTGCCACTAGACGCTACCCATAGCGCCTACCATAAGAAAAGAGCAGCAATTTCTCATCACATCGAAAAAAAATAATCAAAAAAAGTGAAGCTGACAGGTTGCAGCTATACCTCGGAGTTGAAACAGGCAGTGTGTACCCTGTTTCAGAAGAGGACACAGATTTTGGGAGGGGACTTTTTTTTTTTAAAGAGAAAAAAATATGGATTACCTTGGATGAAGTTCGCTTCTTCCGACTTGACCATCTCTATTCGTGGGTCCCCACCATCATACCAAAGAGAACCCAGGAAGAGGAAACAGAGAAGGAACAAAATGGAAAAGTGTTCAGTAAAATAATTCAAACAGCAGCTTGTCAAATGTGTTAGAAAAGATTATTACTAAGTAGGGGGCTGGACCTGCGAATGCATTCATCTACCTCCCTTCTCTCATGGAACATAGCAATCAACAAACCAAAAATACCTGCATTGCACCAAAAAACCCAGGAAATTAAAAAAAGTAATCAAGAATAAAAAGTGGAAGGACCCAGAGCCATTACTAAGAAACATGGCTTGTACTTTTGGTGCCATCTGGTTCTACAGTAAGCTAATTTAAAAAGGAAAAAAATCATCTTGCTGTTAAGTGCTAATGCGGACAGAGCCATTTCACTATTCTGATTCCACTGGAAATGGCTGAGCAATTTGCATTTGAAATATGAGGGCTTAAAACGTCGTCTTTAAAAAAATTACAGTGTGCACCAACTCTTCTATCATCTGCACTTTGAATGTTAACTAAGCACCCAAGAGTACCAAAAGCTGCTACTTTAAAGCAACGTATTTTCTGTCTCACTAGCTAGGTCTACTTTAGCCCATGCCTTCCTAAAAATCCCAGAAGAATTCCTGAGGTTCTTTTGGCTAAACTGCTTTTTTGCTAAAGTAACTTCATGTCTTTGCTTCACCCCTTCCTGCAATCGTGTTGGCACGTGTGCCAACAACACTCTCTTGTACAAGCCAGAGGGGGAATTCACATCCCAGATCAAAGCCATCTCGTAATATAGATATGTAAATACAACAACAGTGGTTTGAATGTTGTCCTTAAGCTTTTAAACGATCACATATTGAGGTAGAAATAACTCTACAGTTATCTTGAGATTTTACAATTCTCAGAGAGGCAACTATTTGAAAAATAAATAATGAACAGCAGACATCCCACATTAGCTATTTCTTATTTTGCTTTCCAACCCCTTGAAACATTTACGTTTCTATAAATAGTCCCATTCAGACTGGAATTCCATACCTATAATTCAATAATGTGCTGTAAACAGAAACTTTCATACTAGACTATATAGAAAACTTGTAGGAATATTTCCTCTTTACATATGTATTACACATATTTAAAATTAGCTCTGGTTTTCAAGCCAGTCCCAGTAAACGCCTGATCTTGGCTTTTCCCTGTCCCTTGCTGGCCAGGAGCAAGATGAGTTCATCAACACAGGTATGCTCCACACTGTGTAAAAGAACAGTAGGAATCCTGAAAAAAATGAAAACAAAAGCAAAAAAAACCCACATGCAGGACCTGAAATTTAAAACCTATCAGCTTCAGTTGTGCTGTTCCCAGTCTCTTCCCAGGTTCTTCTGGGTTTCTAGCATCATTAAATGCACCATATTTCAGCATCAGGAGCCAAGTCAGTCAAAAAACTGTCTGTAGCAAAATCAGGGATTTTACAAGCAATCTCTTCCTCTCAGCCAGTCTGCTCCTCTGCAGGACTGGTGCAGTTTAAATCCTAACATCAAATCCCTGCTTTTAGATTTCACACAGATATGTTTTATCATTGTCATAAAAAAAAGAGAAAGAAAATAAAAAGAATAACTTTTTTCTTTTTTTTAAACTCCTAGGTGGAAATCAGAAGGTAGTATGCCCTGGGATAGCAATCAAAGCAGGTAGGGTTCATACATTCTGAACGTTGCAGTGATGGATACCACGCTCCCGATACACGGACAGCACTGCCACAGTGCACAGAACCATCCAGCTACAGATGTCCACACAACTTTTACGGGTTTGTTTGGTTTTTTTTTTTAAAGTTACGATCTATCTCAATCTCAGAATTGAGTCTCAGAGGATGAAAATAAAGGTGGCATTTCCCAGTAAATCAGATTATGCCAACTTTCCCCCACACACACACACATTCCAGCTACAAATTGGATTTCCTAAGCCACTTACATTTCTCTTGAAGTCTCCTTGCTTGACTGCTAGGCTCAAGTTTAATACAATCACTCCCATGTCATCTTCTAAACTGTTGGGATCTTCCAGTTTTAAAACCTGTTCAGTAGTTCTACAAGCAGCAAAAAAGATGTGCATTTATTGACTCCAGTTATCTCGAGTTCATTATTAAAGGTCACGCTGAGCTGTGCAAATTTCAGCTTCTTGTCTGAAATTCCCCATATTGAGTTTAAATGTTAAAACGTGAAAACTGAAGGGTTCCTTCTTAGTTCTGACAAAATACACCACCCTTTTAATAACAGAGCCTAGTGTTTATACAGCATTGCTTAATACCCATAACTCCCCATATGCAGATGCATGCTGAATTGAGTTACTACTACCTCTGCTTCAGGGAGTGACAGGGAAACTCATCCAAGTGAATTTTCTAACATTAATGGCTGGGATTTGACTCACAAAACCTGTGTTCTGCCTTACCTCCATGTATATTTAATCTCCCTCCATGACTCGGTTCCCTCTTTGAAAACAGGAATGCTGGTATTTACCTGGTGGCACTATCTCACAAATAAATTCATTAATGTTCCTAGAAATTTGGATACAACAGCCATGGGAGCTATAATATACCCATACAGGGAAAACTCATTTTCTAAAAAAAAAAAAAAAAAAAAAAAAAAAAAAAAAGTTGCACAGCAAGGGAGTATAAAAAGAGAGAACTAAAACTTGAATTCCTGGCTTTCAGCTCCACATTGAGACCCAGCAGCAGCAGACAAAAGGCGCAGGGCTTGCATCCGCACTAAATCAGGGCCAGATGCAGCTGCCGTGGGGATGGATGGCTGCGGGGGGAGGCTGGAAACGGGGCGCTCGCAGCCAGCCAGGCAAACCGCTCCCCAGCCCAATTATATGCATTAAAAGGCACCCCGCACTACGTGGGGCTAAGAAGGGGTCTCAACCTTCTCTCCCCCCTTTCTTCTTCCACCTCCATAAATTATTCTGGTGTAGCTCTCCCTAAACAATGCCGCATAGAGAAACTCTTATTCTTATTCCTAGACATGAAAAGGAAAGGGTGCCTTCTGCTGAACTGGGCTCCATCCAGGTTGGATTTGAATCCAGCACGTAACGCCGGATAAACACACGTGCATACAGGATTTCTCTCAAGCCATTTCTTTTAAAATGCGCTCCCCACCCTTCTATCAAACTAAGTTTTGATGAATAAACAAATTCCAAGCTACAGCAAAAACATTGTTATTTTCCTATGTTTCTCAATTAAGCTGCATTAATAAACTTTAATTAAACAAACACATTACCTATTGAGTTCAAGTTCACCAAGCGCTACAAATGCCGAACCCATGAAGTCTGAAGAGGTTAAATCTCGATCGTACACCTGATAGCAAAATAAAATAAATATTTCCAATTTGCACATCATAAGCCAATTGTATCCCAACTGATAAAAGAACAGATATTTTAAGCCCTTTCAGTTCAATTTTGTATTTGAAAGATCAAAGCGTAGATATAATTGAGGGATAATTTTCCATCTCCCTGCTTTAATTTGTATTTTTAAGTAAATATTTAAACAGCATTTTGAAAGTATCTTCTTAATATTATGTAAACAGAGACAGGCGTGCTGCTGTGGATCGCGCGGGTTCCTTTATGCTCTGCGCAATAGCATAATGAAACACTGCACAAAAATCAGGTACTTCTGGTTACAGATGTTTTAGCAATTAGTGCTCGCAACTGGTAGCTTGCAGTTCTGGTAACTGTAACGTTACTCATAATGAGAAAAGGCTTTGCTACTTGTCACAGCTGCATCCCAGGTAATAATTCTGTTCAACCCAGCCAAATTACACTCTTAAAACGTGCTTATGAAACCGCTATTGGTTTCACTGAGCTTGCACAAGCACAGTAAGAGCGAGCAGAATTTAACTCCATAGCTTTAAACAGAGCCAGTCAAGGAGTTTTATTTCAACTTGGGTTCTTTTTTGCAGACGGAAAGCAAAACACGCGAGTAAAATCTGGAAGAGACACATGTGCATTTTAATTTGAAATTACTGAAACTCTTAAACCGGATCGTGTTTTATGTTACACTGCTACAGTGAATAAAAATCAATACATTTCTAAAGTTGGGTAAATATTTCTTTTAAGCAAGTATTTTCACCTTTCAAAAATCTAAACCCAAAACTTACCTTGATCCAGAGTTTTTGATCGAGGGTCTGTACAGGCAGCACAACAGTCTCATCCCAAACTGGGTTGAGGTTCTTGTAGACTACCTTACTTTTGTATAGAGTTTTCCCATTCAGTTTAAACTTCACATAGGGGTCACTTGTACCTGCGATAATTAATAAAAAAAAATAGATTAGCACTGCCCCTGCATAGCCCCACAATCTTTACCTATATTTTCATAAAATAGTAAACAACAATAATAAATGGTAATGACTTTATATATACATGCATATACTTAATTACCTATATAAGAATCACTAGTTTATGCAGAAATTCTATTGAACAGAACCAGAAAGTTGCCTGAAAGCATGCAAGAAAAATTCTTCCTAGTTTGCTTGATCTCCACTGTGTTATTCTTAAAGAATGTTAATTATTCTTTAGCAATTTAGCTCACATTTTAATTTGGGAAAAGAGCAAACAGAAGCAGGGATGAAGAACAATTTACAGGCCAACTAACAACACAGACAGTGGAAGAGAGAAAATGTGATCCTGTGACTATGAATATATAAAAAGACCAAAACTCAAAAGCATTGTAACTTGGATTGGAGCTCCAAGGAAACCAGTAACAATAGCTAAAATACCCGTCAGGATTTCATCACTTCCCAATTTACTTAAAACCAAATCTGAAGTTTCAGTGAAAAAATCCTGACTTTATTCACCAGCTTGGGATAAAAACCACATACAGAATAGAGTCTGTAAAGACAAACAAACAATATTCAGGTAACACATTTTTTAATCCAAGTGGCACATTTTGCCATGGCAATAATGTCCCATATTTTTTATTGAGCAGATGTCCACGGACAGAGCGTGAGGCTCGTGCCACTCGGCAGCAATAGAAAGACTTGCAGCTGTCAAAGGAAAAGAGAAGAGGGAATCAACTTTTTATTATTGTTATTAAACCAGTGGCATCTGCACTAACACCAACCACTGTGCAGGACACCAAACAAAAGGGGAACAAGGTACATGAAGGATTTAACTAGATGGTTGATTTGGTAATGCATACAGACTGCAAAAAAAAATTTAATCTCACAAGCTGCAAATAAGGGAAAGAATAAAACTGAGGTGTAGCAGCATATACAATTAACTGATCTCAGATGCCATTCGTCTGTCATAATCAATGTTGTCTGTATTATTGTCTGTATATTTGGAATTAAACTTCTCTCCTAACGGTTTAATGTCATGAGAAGAATAACAGCTAACGCGACGGTCCTGGCTGCCCCCCAGCCTGCAGTGTGGGCTGCCGGCAGGGAAAGACTCCAACTCCTACACCAGACTTCACATGTTCAGAAATAATCTCAACCTGGCCCCTCCGGTTCCCATTGAGATACTGGCCGACAAACACGTAGCAGTTCAGGATAGCCCGGCGTAAAAACCAATACTCAGTCTTATCAGTACTCTGATGAAACGGTGACAATGTGGAAACCCATATTTAAATATCCTAAGCTCTGATCAGTGTTATGTCAAGACAGACTTAGACTCAAGAAAAAATAGGTATGTGTTAGCATCTATTTGGAATTACATAGTACTGTGAAGAACTGTGCCCCTGGGACATCCGGAATTATCTTTAAGAATTACAGAAAGTTTTTATTCTGTTTAATTTCAAAAGGGAAGACTCCCAGAGTCCTGTCCAATTCTGCGCATAAGGGGTGTTTCATTCACAGAAGGAAAATATGGGTTGGTTTTCAAATACTACAACTGACCCTTTTCCTAAATAGTAATTGCCAAAAATCAACCTCTTTTTGTGAAAAATGCCGCAAACTTAAGACATTCATCTTCCTTGTTTTCTTAGAAAGAATAATAAAAAGGACCTGATCCAAAGCCAGGAAAGTTAGAGGGCAGCTTCTCATTGTTTTCAGTGGGTTAGGACTAGACTTTTTCACTGGACTGTTTCTCAGAACTATGATTATGCCTTTACATAAAACGTACCACTTAGAACCAGCACCCTTTCCACAAGTGGGAACACACAAATAAATCGTCACCCCACAACAGAGGCAGTAGCCCTCAGACGATACAGAATTTGAGAAATAACAGCACTGAGCTCTTTAGTGTTAATTCCTCCCAGCTCCAAAGATCCCAATTCCTTTCTCCTTTAAAAAGGAGAAAAAAAGAAATTAAAAAAAGAGAATTGGCTTTTATTCACAGGACAAGCAGGAGCAAGCTGCATTATTAGTAATAACATTAATAATAATGTCCACAACCTATTCTGTGCATGAAATAGCAACTGGACAAGACAAGGAAAGCAACTGATGAAATGAAAGCACGAAGAGGGCGACGGAGGCAGGTGGTGTATGCCCATAATCCATCTGCTTTTGGTACAGAAAACCCTTGAACGAGGGCAAAACCCAAAAAGAGAGAGAGAAAGAAGAGATAGAGAAAGCAAACGGCCAGCAAGTTCAATGCCTGCAAGTATAAAACTCCAAGCCCTTTCTCCAAGGATGGGAAGCAAGAAGACTACAGCTAAGTAAGCTTCTCAATCGCATTGTTGCTCTGAAAGCTTTCCAGGTTGTTATATCGTAAAGGAAATTAAAAGAGGGGGAAGGGCTGCCCAGCACTGCTCACGTGAGCCAGGCTTTAGCAATCATTCTCATCTATATATCTTTAAAAAAAAAGAGAATGTCTTCCTTAATGTTTACATATATTTTTATATATTTATA